TCGTTATTTCAGTAACTATTGTATGTATAATTTTCTCCCTTCTAAGTAATTCTGGAGACCTAACATAGGACAAGCAGCTATTTGATAACATGTTTTTATATTCTATTTTATAAACTTCAAATCCGGCGAGTTGTAATTCATCAATTTGTGTCACATTGGAGGAAGTTCGAAAAAACACACGATATACTTGACTTTCGACGAAATTGTTATTTTGACGATTCGCAGACTTCTTAGAAATATGCCTTTTGTTTCCTAAAATTGATGTCGATATCATCGTGTCATGGTCAGTTCCGGAAATGACCCAGCCAATAAAATAATTTCTGTACATTGTTTACGGATTATACACTCCATGCTCTGACTAAAATTTCGATGACGAGGTTCACAATTTTGTCTCGCAGAACGTAATACTATGCAGTAAAACTGACCGGGTAATTTGAGAGGACAGAAATATTATGCTTCAAAATATCATTTGCATGTGGTTCTTGTATTTTTACTTTTTTTAACCAATAAGCAAAATATAACCTATGTGGATGAAGAAATAATAAACGGGTTCCATGTTCCCTATTCCCCAGACACATACTCATTTAGTTGTTTAGTTAAGGCACAGTACCTCTAGATAGTGAGATAGAGACTTGCATTTTGTTGTTGATACGACTTATATAAATTGTTCTAGGTGACGACCAGCAGGTTTTGTTTCGACATTATCGTCAAAAGCTGGCATCGGTCACAGGAACACAGAGGGGTGTACCAAACACTCAAAGAGACGTCGATTCCGACTTGTATCGATAGGGTACATCCGCCTTTTCATGAAATCACGAACACACACATTTTAATGTCTAAACAGGAAATACATTGTCTGATTTACAGAAACCATGGACGTACTACCAAGTACATGTAGTTAGTACATCCATGCAGAAACTGACTTGACTAATGCATCCACGGCGCGACACATTATACCAGGCCGTTATTATACCCACCACGATCGAACACTGGCATGTCTATTAAAATTAGTAGTAGATAGATTTGGTTTCCAAACACTGGTCTCCACGGTAATCATGACAGTATTCGCTCGACGCTATAATAAAAATGCTAATGCACATGCGCTTTGGTTTAGTAACTGTACACGCTGTCGCTACGTGACGTCATTATTTTCCATATGTGGTAACATTATGCGAATGTCTAATATTTATCGCTCCCTGATCAACAATCATTTTCGGTATCTGCTGTTGTCCATAAGTGTTTTTTTAACAGGGGGACATATACGTATATTGAATGACGGCAGCGAACAAAGCCGCCAATTCATGTGTAAACGACAGGGTCTGTCCAACCTGGTACGACGGCCTGTAGGTATATCTGGGGGGTATATATTGCCATAAAAACATTGTTATTTTACATACTAAATTGACCTTACCGAAATCAATTATTGAAATATGCCTCAAAATTCTCAAATATATTCTCAGCTGTCTTTTATAATACATGTATGTAGAACGTTCTAATTGGTTATTATTTGCTTTTGACGTTAGAGATGAAAACATTTTCTCAGTTTCTGACAACAGATTATGTGATGTCACACTTTACCCATAATCCTTTGCTGAAGAATCAAGCACTACATAAATTGATGAAAAGTTGAATATCTAAAAAATGAAACGTGATATAAAAATGTAAATTGCATGTTCTTACATTTGCTCTTTTATCTAGGAGTATTGTGTTGTTAGCCTTGACTTTCCCTTTAAATTAATGTAGCCATATGTGTCATGAGGGTATTATTGTAAAAACAAAAACAGGGCGCATCCAGGAGAGAAGGGGGTCATTGGATATGCTTATATTGTACCTATATCAAGTTTATTCTGTTACAAAGAAAAGAACCAAATAAAATACACTATAACTCTGCCATTCAGCCCGCCATGTTAAGCTCGCAAACCACGGTGTGTCGCCTAACAGAACCACCTCGTTTTGAGCTCAACACGGGTATTGTTTCAATCCATAAGAGGGTGTCATATTGCGAATATATCTTCTATTAAATTAACAACAGCTTAATTTAAATCAGAATCTAGTGAACTGGTCACGTATGCACATCTTCAAACCATGCACATCGAAGTGATTCCACTGAGTGTCTACTCTACATACAAATGTACATACATGAGTTCATTACACACGTGATTATTACAGGCTTTTTTCCTGAAATTCCTTAGATTTAAATGGGTCTCGCGTATTGCGAAACATATTCTGTTCCAAATTACTGCAGTTCTCACCAAGTTGGAACTTTAATCGAATCTTTGCGAATCCATCGCGATGCGTATCGGAGTACATGTACTATTTATTCAAAAGCGATGCTATATAAAAATCAAACATTAGTGGGAAGCTGAAACGATCGACAATAGTCAAAATCTGAATCATTAAAAATAAAACTTTTCACACATTTTTCGTTAATTTGCATAAATTCAAACGACTAAGTACTTCACACAATATCACCAAACCCATATACGTATGACCCCCGAAAGGCAACTCCGATGGGCACTCTCTAAATTTTAAGAAGTGAGCGCGATTTTCGACAACATGACCCAACATGCATTATTACCCAATGCCGTAGCAACGGGCGGTGTTGAACCAGTTAGTACAACATTTGATTCGCTGGAATATTCAGTTGTGGTTTGCGCTCATATGAATTTTAATTTGTGTACCGCATAAACAACTTAAAATATATGTCAATTTGGTCGAACCAGTTATCTTCGCATCCAGTGGAAAGGGCGAGGCTGACCGCGTATCCAATCATTGACCTACATATTTGGGCAATATAACACTGAACACTCTACCCTGTATTACCAATATGTGGGAATAATATGACACCACACACGCTTTTATTGCGCGCACATTCGTTTATTCTATCAGCATATTTCACTACCGCCACCAACGACACATTATGAAAGTGCGTATGTCGCATATGATCCATGTCTACTTCACATGCTTTGACTTCAATGCCCACGAGGTATGTTTAGAGACTGTGACAGAAATACCATCAGAAGTCATTCGTGATATTCCGGTACGTACTATGCACATCTGAAATACAAACAGAAGAATAAGCTGGGAATGAGGAATGCTACCCATGCAGGCTTGTGACTGTGACTATTTTTTAATTTTCAAATTATTTTATTATCTGTACTGTAGTACTCCGATTTTATTTATTATTTCCGCATAAGTTAATAGTATAATTGATCTTTTTTTCATAGAGGCGACATTTTGAATATGTAAACTTTGATTCATTTCTGTGAATATATTACGTCATTACATTCTAATAATGGTGTCTATAATCAAAACTGACATCCAGCAGACGCGTATCATTTTTTTTAACACTCACGCAAATAAATTATCATTTTGTGTTTGAACCTACTCCTCCACCCTTCCAACGTACAGCGCCCTCTGACTAACTTGAAACAATACTACCAACGCCACCTTTCAATTAAATCGCGCCCGCCAGCGACGAAACGCTTTCTTGGCGTGGCAATGATATTCATAGACGACTCTGTTTGGCTGTGTACTAGTAGTTGGTTCGTTCTTACTAAAAAGTGCCTATAACAGTTTTGTTTTCATTGACAGACGATTAAAGATCAAAATAACTTTAACTAAAGCTGTGAACGGCGTCCATTACACCTATTACATCATATAAACGCTTCACCGCTAGAGGGCGTAACGTATGATGTGCAGTTTTCCCATAATTATCATGCCAGTTATCATTGTTAAAAAAATGATTCTCATTATAGTTTTGTTGCATAACATCACGAGATAAAAGATAATTTTAATCAATGTCAGTTGACTTATAATAACTGGGTGTTGTGGAAAGCCATAATATCTTTTAGACCTGCTAAAATCTTGCACGACGGATCAAGCTAATATGTTTAGAAAAAAATAAGCAGTATATTGTCACAAAAACGGCACTCACTCTGTTGACCAGCTGTCTGCAAAGAAGTCTTTATCCATCGTTAGCTTTCCAAGTGGTGTCTTGAAGTCGTTGTCTGGATTTCCGTCCGCATTACCGCAAAGCCCTTGCACATCAGAAGCGCCCTCCAACGGCTGTGTGAGCTTGATTTGCACAATGGCACGAGGAAGCCAGTCGATGACAAGGTCCGTCTCCCCGTCACCATCTACGTCCATACTGATTTGCAAGTTATCTGCGACCATTTTTAGATCGAATTGTTTGAAACTACCTAGTATCGCCGGTGAAGTAATAGGGAAAGCATCTTTGCCGTTTATCTGTTAATTATAATACATATTGAAAGTTAGTAAATATAGGGCGAGTAGAGCAGTCGTGGAGTCACCCAGACGTGCCAGCGTCAGTCAATCTCTGGTTCCAACTGTAAATACTAAGATTTTATTGGATGCCTGTGAACACGTGGTACACATACCACACAAATGTATTATTATTATTAATTGCCTGGCAGTGGTAGATCGTCAGAAAACCCAATGTTATCCATTGAGATGAGCT